GATCATCAAATTTATATGTGCGCACACATATTCCTATGAACATGCTGAAATCGTTATCGGTTTAATTTATATCACATACTTTCTGAAAAGTGATCCTTTTTAGCATTAAATTAGTTTGTGTAAGACTTCACACATTAGTCACGTGAAAATCCATTGTTTCTTCGTTAACCCATGACTTTGCCGATTATTGCATAATGGTTAAACACAATAATATATTTTTGAGCATGTCTTTCGCACACTCGACCGATATCTGTGAGTGAGTGAATGTTGTTTAATGTCACAATCAGCAATATTCCAGCTATACCATTGTGGACGACCAGTGACCGAAAGCAAAGGCAACATTCTATTATTCACTTTCATCCATTGCTTATCAAAGCTTTGTATAAACGTTTCATGAAGACAATATACAGCATGTTATGTGTAATATAAATTTCAATGTTTCCAGTTGACCCCTGTCACACTGAAACCTGTAACAACCAGGGAACGTGCAACGTCTGATGATACTACCCCTGTAGCTGTCTGTACATGTAACCCTGGCTTTACAGGAACCAAGTGCGAAACTGGTAACCTTTATACTGATATTCTACCTTATTCGACTCAGTAGTTAAGTAGTTAAGTCAAAAGAGACAACAGAATGACTAACATATTCATGAAACTATATAGGGTATTAACATCAATATTATTTTTCAATTCAATTTTTTTTATTTTGTAAGTGTAGGCAATCGGCCCATGATAACTTACCCTTTTTCGCAAACACCTGGTGTCATCACTCATTTTCAGTCATCCATTCGTACAATTTCTACAGTTATTTGTCCTTTACGCCAAGTGGAATCTGTTTCGGCAGAAAATCAAAGCTGGTTATTCTCTTGCATTGACAATGGACGTGATGTATACGTACACAGATCATATTGATCTGACAATAATGTACGATGAAGTGGCAAATATAGCTAGATGTTTAGAAAAAAATTACAATCAATTGTGGACGTAATGATATTTAATATTTGTTTGGTCTGATATTCGCAATATTTCATTTTGGTTATTTATACACCCGTAACTTGTTATAACCAGGGCAGACTAACAGAAAATTATACTTGTCCTCCACATACCCAGCAATACAAACACAACATAATCTCCTTTCACGTGGTATATAAGCGTGTCTCCCAGGTTCAACACATGGCTGATGTGAAAAAACCCATCTAAACCGAGCAAGCGCATCTCTAGATTTATTGACTGTCACGCAGCTAAGATACGACTCTGTACCAAACGATACCTTGAATAGATAATAAGAGAAAGATTAACTTCCCTTTTCCAGAAGACTATGTCAATCGTGTTCATGACTAAATTACAGACGCGACATAAATTCTGACAAAAAACGATGGAGAATGCCTTATACGCTGATATTTCCACATTGAGACAAAACCCAAGCTGAACAATAGAGATTTACATTTTGAGACAATTAATTTTACTGTAACATTCTGCCTGAAGCTCCATATTATGACATTTCTTTGGATGACGACAAATGGACATACTAAATAACTTTATCCAAAGAACAATAACTACTTTGTACAACGCCCGAACCTCGAACCATGTTGATGGGTGTTGACGATTTGAAATAGTCAAGCTATACCATAGCGGACGATCAGTGACCGAAAGCAAAGGCAACATTCTATTTTTCACTTTCATTCATCTACTTTGTACATTTAAACTTTGTATAAACGTTTCATAAAGACAACATACAGGCATGTCATTTAAAATATGTTTCAATGTTTCAAGTTGACCCCCGTGAAACTGTCACACTGAAGCATGTAGCAACAAGGGAACGTGCAAATAATCATAACAATACTTTTCTAGAAAATATGTGGTATCTGCGATTAGTATATATATCGTCTACAAATAATAACAGGAATATCTCTGTAATGTCAGGATGAAGTTGTGTTCCTGATTCATTCTGTTCAACTTCAGTAGCTAGTTCTTAAATGACCATCGGAAATAAAAGGGGCCTTAACACACAACCCTGATGTACACCTCCTGGAGACTGAAATAATTTACGCTAGCCTTAATAACTGTATAAATAGACTGTATTGTAAGCTTTAATGTAAGAAAACCTCTATTGCCTATACTGACCATAATTCATCCGGTTTACATTGTCAAAGTCTTTAGCAAAATCGACAAACAAACCATACACTATACCCTTACTGTCACTGATATATCTCTGGACAATAGACAGAAGTTTAAAATATTATCTAAGTTAAAAAATATTATGGAGTAGTCAAGACGAAAACTAGCCTGGGAATACACTTTTACCATAAACCTTGCCCTTCTATACAAACTAGAAACATACAGCTTATTCAGTACACTAAGAACTGATATACCCTTAAAAATAGATTGGACATCTCCTCGCTTAAAACAATAACTCACTGAGACTAAGATTTAGATGAGTCAGCATTATCAAACACCATGTTAAATAGCACTGTAGGATATGGGACAAACATATCATTAGCATATTCAAAACATTCCCAAATGAGGAGGTCATTTTCCTGCGGTTTTACCAAATTTTAAAGAGATAATAGCACGTAGCACCTCTTCTTGTGAAATGGGTGTTTCCACAATATAGCAAGATATATCATCATTAATATCAGTAAACGTCTTATGGTTGATAATCGTATCCTCATCAAACATATCCTTAAAATGATCAACCCATTGTTCTAGTTTTATATTAGGTACACGAGTAGCCATACTCTGGGATAATCCTCGTCGACCAAAAACATTTACTATTTGGAAGACTAGATAAAACCTTATATAAATGTCTACTAGTTTATATTCCTTCTCCCTCCCATCTGTAGTACTGACACTCAGTGTCAAACCAGGGATGTGAATAACTGAGACTTACGGAGACTTACAAAATACGTTTATGCATTGAGCACATGTCTGGTAAATATGAGGTCACTTTACATCAACTATACAGGACCTTAAATATGCGTCACTGATACGCACGAATATAGTTCAAACGGTCAATTATAATCCAAATTTGCACATGTGCCATCATCAAAACATAACAGTCAGTATACAAATACATCTTATAATTTGCAAATACATCTAGTTTAATTCACATACATGAAATACGGCAACATAGAAAATAATGCCAAGTCACTGTAGCTCACCTTGATATGTAGTCAACAAAGACAAACGCTTGAGTGAGTGAGCTTGGTTTAACGCGGCTTTTAACATTATTCCAGTTATATCACGCCGTTTCAGCTTAATGTTGGAGGTAAGCCCGAAGTTATGCAGGTCTCAGACGTTTACCACTTCGGTGAAACCTACGGTGCTGACAAACCTAGAAACATATTTGGGGGGGGGGGGGAACCTGATTCGAACCGACAATCATAGGTTTCTGGCGTGCCCATGGAACGCAACTCTGAACAGCGAATCGCGGCGCCCAAACCCGTGACCCCCAAACTCTTAAAAAAAGATATCCACATATTTCCAGCATAAAATAGTGAGGACAAATTGAAAGCTGTAACACAAGTAATGCTTCATCAACAATTCTTAATCGCTTTTACAAATTTTAGTTTTCTAAGAAGGTATGAATGAGGGTTTGTCGTCGCAAGTTGTCCGGTGCTGTCCGCGTCATCAATAAAGGTGTTATATTTTCGACTAATCCTTTTAAAAATATGGATTCAGCTGAAATTATGTGTGAATGTTTGTTGTTATTAGGTGATTCACTTTTTTTTCAAATCATTGCTTTTTTCGGAGCTTTCGAGATGAAAGTCAATTCTTAATTATATAATTGTGCGTCTGTTGTAAACACCTTTCCAGAAACCTCTGTATCAATGAGTCTGAAACCTCATGTTTGTTCCTATTACTGATGATACCAATATTTGTTTGAGAGTTTCGAATCTCACGGGCGCCACTGGAGGGATGGTACAACTGATGACATAATGGTGTATGAGAACATACTACCTGATGATTTGAATGTTTCCCTCTCACTTGCTTTCCCTGAAGCTTGTGCGTCGAAACATGAACGTTAATATAACTGTTGTCCCTCGTTCAAAGCTCGTTATCACACAAATTAAAACAATCAGTTGACAAAAAGAACACCATTACCGTAGTTTGACTTTCAAGGCGTGTTTGTTAAAAGGGAGGCTACTCTCATTTTGAAACATGATGGTCTGGTTCGAACGTACTGGGTTAAATGAGGTTGTTGCACATTCTCCAACTGTGTAGCATGGTAGTCAGTAATTATGGGATCTCTTAATATAAACATGTTGCCATTTTTTTATTATTTCAGTGTAATCAGGTTGGTGAACATCAGCACATACTGACCGTGTACTAAATTGTTTAGCATGAGGACTAGGGCCAATGTTTAAAGCAAGTTTTTGTGCCGTTCGAGTATTTGAAAAGCACGTGTCAGTGCTGCATCGATACTTCCATCGTTCCAAATAGAAGTGTATAGATATCGAGAACTGGGGGCATATGATGTTGATGCACATTTCCCAATCGTGTGGCATGGTAGTCAGTAATTACGTGATCTCTGATCTTTATTAACATGTTCCGGATTTTGTAATGTTTTTTTTGTTTTGGTTTGTTGTTTTACGCCGCACTCAGCAATATTCCAGATATATGACGGCGGTCTGTAAAATAATCGAGTCTGGACAAGACAATCCAGTGATTGATATCATGAGCATCGATCCACGCAATTGGGATCGATGACCTGCATCAACCAAGTCAGCGAGCCTGACCACCCGATCCCGTTAGTTGCCTTTTACGACAAGCATAGTGGCCTTTTATGGGAAGCATGCTGAAGATCTATTCTACCCCGGATCTTCACGGGTCGATTTTGTAATGATTTCAGTGCAATCATGTTGTCGATAGTGACACATATCGAGAAGACATAATTCAAGCTGGCACACGTGTCAAATATCGAAGTGTTATATGATGTGTAACAAATGGTGTTACCCTAGCCTGTAACAGATTGCGATGTACTATGTTGTTGCCATGGTACGATGAATGATCATCTGACATGTTGCCTATTTCAATATAAGAATATGCTTAACATTGTTGGAATAGCATGATTACAAAAATCTGCCCTTCAAAACTGTATTACCCATTGGTTTATTACATTCGTTTGGTATCGTAATTTTTCAAATAAGATTTCAAGGTCGCCCTTGATGTATCACAGGCAAGTGCATTTTCAAGTGAGTGAGTGTACGACTGTAGCATTTTACAGTTAACATTACATAAAAATACATTGGTGGTTATGCATTTTCTACACTAGATATCGATGAATGTGAAGCAACTGATGCCACCAAACATGACTGCCACGAACATGCAGACTGTTTTAATACGCCTGGATCCTTCACCTGCTCATGCAAGTCTGGCTATGTTGGAGATGGAAAGACCTGTACACGTTAGTATATATTCAGTGTGTTTTTTTCTCTGACATTGTTATATGATTGACCAGGTTCTTTCCGTTATACAATTTGAAAATTGCCTTTATTTCGATATTAACATATGTTTTGACTGTTTTCAGAAAGCAAGTGCGATGATACTATTTTGTGCACATTCCTTCATGTTTTAGTTGGCGTGTGCTCCTCTAATGGCAACGAATGTTTAAATGGTGGGACATGTAATATCCCCTCGGGCTGAGCTGCTAGTACATGTAGCTGTGCAGCTGGATTTACTGGTACACTTTGTGAAAGCAGTAGGTATAAGATGTATTTATAAATATATGTCTCTTCTTGTTTGGATTACACACATAACCGTTATCAGTATATTGTTTTAATTATTGTTTTCATTCCTTGGTAGACATTGATGAGTGCAGTACAAGTGCTGATGACTGTGATACAAACGCTGACTGCACAAACACGGAAGGATCCTTCACCTGCACATGCAAGTCTGGCTATGTTGGAGATGGAAAGACTTGCACAGGTAAATACATATTCAGCGATGGACTTTCTGATACTGTTTGATGCTCCAAGAAACGAAACTATGTTGGGCCATGCAAATGTGTATGACTGAATGACGGAGTGAAAATGGAAGGAAACCGTCTGAATACAGAACCAAAAAGTTTCGATGGTAGTTCGAACATTCTTCAGTTTGTACATGTCTACAATAACACAATTTCGAAAAAAAGATATCAAAATATAAAATATTTCTGTACCATCGTATCTCTTTTTTAGATATGACAACAGAGTGGACTAGAGATTCGTTATAACAGATGGTGCGTGACAATCACTAAACAGACATGTATGATAAATATGAGGTCATATGTTTCGTTTTCATAGCGAATTTCATACATTTCGAATTTACGTCGACCACATTCTTTTAATCGAGGTCGTTTCTAGCCGAGGTTGGCAGATACATTATTCTCTTGAAATATATAGTTAGAACTGTCCCTGATATTTCTGTGTTACAACAACACCAACTTTTATATCCATAAGTACAATTGTTTGAGATCACACTGTTGAAACTGTCGATAGCTGTGATTGGTAATCTTCTGCACCTCATGTGTAGTATGTCCATCATTAGACACACGTTTTCAGCTTGACTCCATACTACTTGTAAACTGTGTAAAGAAGAGTCCTAAAAATTTGGTAACTGTAAACGTAGTTTATTTCAAGTCTTTTGTTGTATCATTTTTTGTTTCTTTGCGGTCCCCCATTTCTAACTTGTCTAAATGTAATATCATGAAGATCCAGGTTAGAATCGGTCTTCAGCAACCTATGCTTGTCGTAAGAGGCCACGTTGTGGTCACGCTCGCTGACTTGGTTGATACAATTGCACAGATCGATGCTGATGATACCAGTCACTAGATTGTCTGGTCCAAACTCTATTATTTACAAACTGCTGTCATATAGCTGAGTTTGGCGCTAACCAACAAACAAACAACAACTAAATGCAATATCGGTCCCCGTTTATAACAAAGTTTCTTGAGCGTCAGTTTGTTGCTGTAATCGTCCAACATAATTTGCAGAGTTAGCAATCATCAGCATCTAATAGCAGACATTTGTGCTATTAGCTCCTTGATATAGAATGAGAATAGAATTGGACTAACCATACTTCCATGGCTGTACCCACACGAAGGGACAGTTTTTCCCAAATGTATGCATGTCAGGAAATGAACGTATAATCCGTATGGGCCAAGTTGAAAAGTACGTATCATTCATCATTTACACAGATTACGCAGGTCTTGAAATATATGAACATTCAAGTGACTATGACGAAAACCGATCCTGTTTCATTGAATTACTCGATTACTTGATTATCACACCCGTTTGATGTCATAATTTACCTCATCAACAACTCTCAATCTGAGATGAGAACAATTATTTTTCTCCTCATTTGCCAGAGGGTGTGTGTTCTTAGGGAGGGACAGAATGCATCAATGGAGGAACATGTGACACAAGCAGCACTCCTACCACGTGTGAATGTGCGGACGGTTACACAGGAGACACCTGTCAGAATGGTGAGGAAACATTTTCAAAAAGAGTCATAGGACACTTGCTCAAAAGTTGCTTGATCAGGGTTACAACATCCACGACCTCAGGGAAGCTTTCAAAACGTTTTAGGGTAAATAATATTACGTGGAGGAAATTTCCAAATTTGACGTGTCAATGACCTATATGTTATCCGATGCAATTTCCTGTTTTCATTGCATTTGTTTGGGATGGTGCCATCGAGTCTTATGACGCTCCTCGAAATCTTGGTAGAAAGAGCATGCTCGATTGTATCTCAAAAGTTTATTTGTTTGTTTGTTTGTTTGTTTGTTGTTTAACGCCGCACTCAGCAATATTCCAGCTATATGACGGCGGTCTATTAATAATTGAGTCTGGACCAGACAATCCAGTGATTGACATCATGAGCATAGATCCACGCAATTGGGATCAATGACATGTATCAACCAAGTCAGCGAGCCTGATCAACCGATCCCGTTAGTCGCCTTTTACGACAAGCATAGTCACCTTTTACGGCAAGCATGCTGAAGGCCTATTCTACCCCGGAATCTTCACGGGTCTCAAAAGTTGCGAAATGTAAACACCAAAGGCTGGAGCTGCTGGAATATTGCTCAATATGAAGGGAAAGTTGACTCTTGATTTTGGTTGGTTGGTTTGTTGTTTAACGCCGCACTGAGCAATATTCCAGCTATATGACGGCGGTCTATAAATAATCGAATCTGGACCAGAAAAATCCAGTGATTGACATCATGAGCATAGATCACGCATTAGGGATCGATGACATGTATCAACCATGTCAGCGAGCCTGACCGACCGATCCCGTTAGTCGCCTTTTACGACAAGCATGGGTTGCTGAAGGCCTATTCTACCCCGGAATCTTCACGGCTCTCAAAAGTTGCCATCGGTCCCAATTGCGTGGATTGATGCGCATGATATTAATCACTGGATTGTCTGATCCAGACTCCCTTATTTTTTACAGACTGCCGTCATATAGCCGGAATATTGCTGAGTGCGGCGTTAAACAACAAACCAACCAACCAACCAAAAGTTGCGAAATGTTAACACCAAAGGCTGGAGCTGCTGGACTATTGCTCGATATAAAGGGAAAGTGGCCTATTGGAAAGTTGAAATCATCCCTCTTGTCATACAGTCTTGTGGAGAGTGTTTTGTCACTCTGTATCTTCATGTACAGATCTAAATATGAAACAGATGAGGCGGTCTCACTGGTCTCCTTTATTTCTAGTTCAGGTGGGTAAATCAGTGGAATGGAGTTGGCTATTTGATTGTTATTGAACGATATCAGATCATCGATATACCTGAAGCTTAAGTTAACACATGCTTATAGTCGGAATCGTACAATTGACTTTCTTCGGCTCTCTTTCTGTAAACAAGGATATCTTCCATTGGCAAATTATAATTATTGAAACGGTTTTGTGGCTTTAATTCATATTATCGAACCCAAAGGTTATATGTTGAATTTTAGTTGTCATAGTGACAATATAATGACAAAATTAAAATCACACATCCCCTCCTGTGATATGTTCTATTAAGTGTCTGACCCAAAGCCCCCGACCACAAAAGCTGCGTGGCATTTAATCAAAAGGAATCTTATTTATATACTGTTATCAGATTGGATCTTTAACCATCTGACTCATGTGATGTGAGAAGATCACTGAAAGCTGTGGTTATCATCACATACACAGTAAACAGTTGACAAATTGATTATTAAGTGCAGAAAACACAAATGGTTCGTGAGTTATGCTCTTGAAATGAAGCCTTCATTGATTTAAATGTAAGGTAATATTGTCGTAAATATTCGAAATAGTAAAAGGCACCTGTTTAAAGGTAGATCGATATATGTGCAAAGTTTGATCAGGAAATATTAAACGCCCTTTGCTTTACGCAAAGGAAACAATATCTACAATCATTGGAAGTGGGAAATGACGAAAGATGAAAATGGGAATTGTCAGTAAAAAACTAACGGTTGATACAGACATTGTTCATAGGTTAAAATTTCATAAATCTGTTCCATAAATGAATTCCATTTTTGTCGGTACACGTTCTCTTTTTCAGCTGGAGGTACGGTGAAGATTTCAGCATACCTAATGGCGTTGACTGTTCTCACCTTTTTCGTCATCCTGTGAAATGACCACACACTGACTGCCGCAACCTGCTTGAACTGCGTTCTTGTTTGAAGTGTTGAAATGAAATATGCTGATGAAAGAAATTAGGGAACAAAATTTAAGCGAGTCATGTGATGTTCGGCAATGTATTCATCACACCAGATACTAAAATGTCACTCACTGAAATGATTTTAAATCAAAGATATTTACATTTAAGTAAACATTTTCTGCTATAATTACAAGGTTTCGTTATTTTGCTATATGTGTATACCATTGCTAACGTATTCCGTTTTGTTCGAACAAAGTATGTATTAGTTTGTTGTGTTCACTTCCGTGTTCTGTTACCATACAATGGTGACTTTTGATTCACGTGGAATAATCACTGACTATGTACTGATTGTTATCATCTCACTGTAGGTAAAAAGGCAAAATTCCTCCCTGCATACTTCGGCTACTGATAACATGTTACTGATGACGTGGACCTCTCTTCGAGTGACCACTGACACAAAGTAAATGTGATCTACTTTTTACCTATAGTGGCACAGTGACACTCAATATCCACTTAAAAATCTTCAGATGTACAGTCATGTTTTATTTCCAATTTTTGTAACTCTTAACGAATAAACATCAACCTGCAAGTTTTTTTTATCATCGTTGAGTTGAATTAATTTCTCATCGTTTTAATGAAGGCAGTCGCCTGTTAGAAGTGATTAAACATTTAACGTCACAGGCAATATCTCAGCCATGTAGCGACGAGAACATATTACATATTAATACAAATAAGTTTGTTTGTTTGTTATTTAACCACACCCTCAGCACCATTCCAGCAATATAACGGTGGTCTGTAAATCATCTAAGAGTCTGGAACAGACAAACCAGCGATTGATCTTATCACGCCGTCGGGATACAATGACATACCATCAACCGAGTCACCGGGTCTGACCACACGATTCATTAAGTCGCCTCGTGCAACAAGCACAGGTTACGAGGGATCCATTCAAAACCCCTGTTGGAGAGACAGGGCAAAGCAAAACGTGTTGACAGCTTATGAAGGGCCAATTAAACAATGTAGTTCAAACACACATTCACGATGTGTTATACACTTAACGAATATTTAGATATTACCCGGGTATAAAAGAATCATATTTGCTGCTTAAGGATACGAGACTTTACGTTTTTAATCCCCCTCGTATTTTAGCCCATAGTCTTAAAACGGAAAAGTTAAACGCTCTTGAGCCCATGCGCTTTAATTAATTTGAAAAAATTTATTGATCTTCCTTTTCCAGTGGTTCTTCAATAAGTTGTGTAGCACACATCTATATGGCCATTTTGCACCAAATTGCACCTTAAGCGTTGTTAGAGGTTTCCAGATTGACAAGACACACTGGTCCCCTAGGGTATATGATATTTTGGATACTCAGAGGGATATTTTAAATGCATAGGACAGACACGCATTGCTGCAATATTGGTTTGTTGATATGTATTGGCAGCTTTCATTGATCATTTCAAATTGTCAGCACCATATCTATTCTCGTTGTTTTTATGAAAGTGTAAACGTCTAAGACCTGAGCCAGCCTAACTCACTCACACCAACTTTCCGGTTGTCAAGAATCATTGCATTTCTCGGCCACCACTGGGCACTGCAGTGGTACGTGTAGTAGCGCTTTTATTGACTCTTCATTTGCTTTGGAATATTAATTTCCAATTACTCCAAAAATATTTTGTTGTCGTGTTTAAGACAGGAGAACCATGCAACATAATATATGGTATTCTACTGATATATACAATATTTTTTTATCAATTCTAATACATATTTCTGATTAAACGAGCACCTGATGTTAACACCTTAATTTTATGACTCTTCAATCAATTCAAGAATTGCCTTTAAGACACCTTATGTCTGTATATGTGGCCTGTGAAATACAATTGCATGTCCTGTTTGTTGTTTAACGCCTCACTCAGCAATATTCTAGCTATGTTCTGTATATATATATCGGATCTGGACCAGTCAATCCAGTGACTGACATGAGCATCCATCTACGCAATTGGATTGGTTGGTTGGTTGGTTTTTGGTTTAACGCCGCACTCAGCAATATTCCAGCTATATGACGGCGGTCTGTACATAATCGAGTCTGGACCAGACAATCCAGTGATTAATATCATGCGCATCAATCCACCCAGTTGGGATTGATGACATGCATCAACCAAGTCAGCAAGCCTGACCACCCGACCCCGTTAGTCGCCTTTTACGACAAGCATAGTCACCTTTTACGGCAAGCATGGGTTGCTGAAGACCTATTCTACCCCGGAATCTTCGCGGGTCCTACGCAATTGTGATACGAGTTCATGCATCAACATGGTCAGCGAGTTAGTTAGATACTTCCTGCGACAAGCATGGGTTGCTGAAGACCTGTTCTAACACTGATCTTCACAGGTACAATAACATTTAGTGGAGTAACTTGATATGTATACTGCGGAAGCTCTTCTTGACTGAGACCCATCTGTATGTAAGGCGTGGCGATATGTTTGTTTGTTGTTTAACGCCGCTCTCAGCAATACTCCAGCTGTATGATCGCGACATGTATTAGACAAACCTGTGATGGGTTTTATGCCCAACGATCAACATCATCGGGGCATCATGTCACGCCCACAACCAAGTAACCAGGTCTGACCACCCTATCAAATCATTTACCTCTTGCAGCTAGCATACGTTTCTTGGAACCCGTTCTTACCAGGAATCCACACTGGGGTCGTGGCAACTGACACAACAGATTTTCAACACCCTCCAGCTTATATATTCATAATAGCGAAAGCAGATCCCCGCACAACAATCACAGTATCTCGGACATTAAAGGACACCATAAAAACTGCGTGACATGTTTTTTCATAAATCGTTTGAAGGGCCAGTGTACACAATTTCTATTTAAGAAGATGTAACGTCGCATTTAATAATAGTTCACTGATATAGCGTTGTGTGTGTGTGTGTGTGTGTGTGTGTGTGTGTGTGTGTTCCGTTATGTAGAACAAAATGACCCGTCCTATGTTTAGTCCGGTCAATATATTGTCAAATCCTACCAAACCCATGACAAATTGCAATCGAAATTATTTTTCCTGTTTCGTGAACGGAAGGCATCCCCTCAGACCATTATCTTTTGTAATCTTTTGCATTTGATACTTTATAAAGTACTTTACAAATGACGTTTACTGGTTACTTTAATTATCTTATGTACCTTGAGAAGTCATAAAATGGTGTGGACTGAGAACATCATGCCAATGTTAACGTAACTGAACATTATTTAAAAAGGGTCTGGCACTTAAAATTTAATCAGACAATTACAACAGTTACATTTTTCAACATACCTGATTCTAATGTTACTGAGCTTATAACGATATGTATATTTAATAAGATCCTACTTCTTGCAGGTTGCGTACTCCATGGATAAGTGTCCTCTCTGTCAAGAAAATTTTACAGATGACAAGGACACTGTAATATTTGGAGAGAAAGGAAGACTTCTTTTTGTATATACATGATGTCGTAAACTATGCTTTTAAAATGATATACTTTCCTTTGCTCCTCTGTTTAGTTGGCGCCCTCATCTCCAGTTTTTAGGGCTCCCTATACGAATATTACTGCCTTAGATGATAGTTTAAGTGAATTGCAGCTAGGGAGCCTTAAAAATATTTTCTTAATATATGAAATTCCGTTTGCTTCAATATTGTCCCTCAAATTCGATGAGCCTTCCGAAAGGTTAGTACAACAAACTGCTGATACTCAATAACATTAAAAACATTAAATCATGATAACCATTCATTCGTCTTCGATTAGTGTTGCTCTGTATCACTGACACTTGTTCACTGGAAAAGGAACAGACCATAAATCTAACATGGATGCAAGTTGGTGCACTTCCTGCTGCTCATCAGTGTGGATGCCCCTGCAATGTGGAACGCCAACTGTAAACGTCCAGATCGGAATAAATGTTTTACCGATGACATGTACCAAAAGCCAGAAGCACAGGAAAGGTACACGTCCCGTGTGTTATTCTGACCTGCATGTCAGTGATTCTTGTATTTGTCTTTTATGTAACAATTGACCTCACTGGTCCTCACTAATTCGTCTTTGGCCACTAACCACTCACACAGAGTAAATGTTTTCTATTTGTTATATAAAATGACAATTGGTTATTGCCTATCCACCCATAGTGTTATCGTGTTTGGTCTAATGAATAGTGTTTAAATGATATTAAAAATGAAAAAAAAACGACTTCACTTCTTATCTTGTTTATCTGACGGATATTTCAGTATTTCATATCTAGGCAGTCTGTAAATAATCGAGTGTGATAAAGGCATCCACTGATTGATTTCATGAGCATCGGTTTATGCGATTGGGACAAGATAACATTATCAAGTCCTCGCAGACAAGTAAAATATGTTTGACAGTAAATCTGTTATCACCCCTGATTTCATGTTGCATCTAATTGGGCGAATGTTTAAGAGTGCTTCAACGTGATGTTCGATTGCACTTGTTAACGGCGGCCGCTCCCTGGACAAGGGGAAGTAATCCTGTAGCGGATCATACGAAGCGATCGTACAATACTCATAAATAGAATTTCAGTAGCAATACACATGAAGAGAAACGTTTGGAGGTTGATCCAAATCACCTTCAGGGGGCATTTGAGAGATAAACCTACTGTGTTATTAATTTAGAACTGAGTGTTTTAGCTTGAGGTTTCAAGTGTATAAATAAGAGCTATCTACTCTTTGGTAGGACTACATCAAACTTCGTCCAAAGATGAATTAACATTCTTCTATTTATTTTACATGTGTGAGTCTGATTGGTTAACAATTACCCCCATAAATAACAAAAAGTCAAAATAAACGCCTCTCCACCGCAAAACATGTGGCAGAACTTGACCTAAATCACGGTTACTCACAACTCATAACGGCTGACACTGTTGTTTACATTGTCTCAGACAATTAAGTTACATGAAGCAAGATGACAATCCCCAATCTATGATGGTTCAACTGTAACCTGTAGATTTACGGGGAATGCTGGTGCAATGGGAATACCAATGTACCTGGAGAATGACTGAACAGACGCCTTTTTGGTAGAAGACGAGCCGGCTATGTTGCCACGAGGAAATGTTTAGAGACCTGGCTTGTATACAGTTACTAGTGGTGATCGATCGGCAGCCATTATTATTATGAATCGATATGTGGGCTATTGATGTATTTATGCGCACGTTTTTTTTGTGTGAAAAAGGCTTACTGTATTTAAAAGGGTTTCCTTAACAAAAAGGAAACCTCTCTTTAACCGATCAGAATTAAGCGTTCTTCAATGTCGTGGTAGAATATGACTTTATTAATGTCTTAACTTACATTCCAATATTACCGATTGTTGGTTTTTATTCACAAACTTCATTGACGCCTACAAAGGTGTCCCACGTTTTTGGCATCATATCCCAAATTTTGCTTGGATATAAAAGCATGTATGGAATAAATAGTGGATATAACGGTTAACCCAGGCTGCTCTAGGTGCAGCATCAGCTTACAAGTTATTTACTGCAGCTAATTGTAAGGTCGTCATCAACAGAGTGTGAATACTTATTAAAGTTGCATCGGAAATATTACAGC